CACGGTGATGATAGGCGAGCACCAGTGATCGTGGCCGCGCCTCTCGTTTCTTATGCCCGCTCTGCATCCCTGCTGGGCGGCGATCAAACGGGCAGGGCAGCGCTTTTCACGAGCGGAGATCGCTACTAGATGAATCATGTAATTTTTTTTTAATTCATGTAATGGTTCTTTTGTCGCAAGTTGTGTTATTACTACATTAATTTATACTAGCCTAAATATCCAGCACTCCCTAAACGCAGTCTCTGGCTTATTGCCAGTCAAGCGCAAGCACGCTGCAGGGACGCGTATATAACGACTTTGATCTGATTATAAAGTCTTTCCGAGTCACAGGGCTCAAGTCAAAGTCAAGTCTCGAGTCATTGCTGTCAAAGTCTAAGTCGAGTCTCAAGTCTTCTTTAATTATGTCGAGTCGAGTCGCAAGTCATCAAATTTGGGACTCGAGTCCGAGTCAAGTCTCGAGTCGTGTCACTCGAGTCCACACCCCTGGTTCCCCTTCAGGAACTCGAGCTGCGTCGAGATTCGCTTTGGGAACGCCCCTGCGTGACCGCGTTCTGAAGCACGTGTAAAATCAGTCCAATGGAGCAGCGAGACGTCACGAACGGGGTGCCGTGAGCGCCAGGAAGTATAAAAGCGCATCCGGCAGAGCGCAAGTTAGCTTCTGCTCTTCAGTAGTGCTCTGTGTATGTGTCAGTCTATTTACTGTTGTCTGTCAGTCCACAAGCATTCAAAAGAATATGTCAAAGTGTAAACTAATATCTATGGCGAGCAAACGGCATTACAGACGTTGTGTGCCTCCCTGCCCATGCTATCTGGCAGCGGGGGATACACACGATGTGTGTGTTGTTTGTTTAGGAGCGGAGCATGCACGGTCAGCTTTTGAGGGAGCTGATTGTCATCACTGCGAGTTACTCTCGCTGTGTATGCTCCGCTCTTGCCTGGCTGTGTTTGATGAGGCTCGCGATCCCGCTCGCAGCGGTCCCGCTGTTGCCGAGGCACGGCATAGAGCGTTGTCGTGGGGATCGCAGGTGGATTTAGCGGAGGGATCCGATTTTCTCGGTCCTCACCCGCTAAATCCGCGGCTCTCTCTCAGGGTTCGGAAGCCCGTGCTGCGGTTTCTTCCCCCCGAAGAGAGAGCCAGACACTTCATCTATCTTCTTCCGAGGAGGTAGAGGTGATGAGTGTCGAGACAGAGGAGACTGTGGACTCGCCACCGCAGTCCCTCACGTATGAGTAGCTCGTGGAGATTGTGACTTGTGCTGTAGCCAAATTAAATATCGAGTGGCCATCCGAAAAACAGGACACTCGTCCTAAAAGCAAATTAGATGAGCGTTTCCTGAGGGCGAGGTCACAGCCTTCACGACGGGGCCTTCCGTTTTTTCCTGATCTCCATGCCGAGTTGTCAAGATCGTGGGAAAAAACGTATTCTTCCCGTATCTATAGCCCCACAGTGTCCAATTATTCCAATATCGTGGGGCTGAATGAGAAGGGATATGGGGCGATGCCAGTGGTGGAGCAGACGCTCGCGAGCTATCTCTCCCCATCCTCAGCATTGTCCCTGAAGGCCCCGAAGCTTCCCACCAGGCCTGTTAAGCTAACATCTAGTCTGGTTGGGAAAGCTTATACAGCGGCAAGTCAGGTTGGTGCGTGCTTGCATACCATGGCGGTGTTACAAGCGTACCAGGCTGACCTGCTCAAGGACCTAGATGACAGGGAGGAGGGGGAATCCGACGTGGTAGCTGAACTGTGTCGGGCCACAGATTTGTCCCTCCGAGCCGCCAAAGAAACGGCCAGAGCTATAGGCCGTTCAATGGCAGCAATGGTGGCCACGGAGCGGCATCTGTGGATGAATCTGTCTGATATGCAAGATAAGGACAGATTCTTCCTCCTAGACACTATGCTTTCGCCCTCTGGCCTTTTCGGCGACGCAGTCA